TGTTGATTTACTGGTACGTTTTCTTAGGAGACTCCATGTGAATTTTAACTTTAGGCCCAATACTGCCAAACCACCTAAAATAGTTCATGTACTACACTGAATGTTGGGGGGACAAATTTCATGGTCAAGGTCATGTTTTCACCAGTGTCTGTTTGTTGGTTTGTAGTACTGAACCGATTTACACTGAACACAGATGGGGCATGAGTCAAGGATCCATTAAATATTGGGGCAGATCCAGAGTATTTATTGTGAATTTAATTTTTTGTTTGTTTGTTTGTTTGTTTGTTTGACATAAGCATTGGTGGTTGTCCCTTCTAGTTCATTCCTGTGGTACTTTTCTTTTCCATAGACAATGTGTCCAATCTTTTTTTTTTGTCTCTGATCCCAATCTGAATATTTTACTAAGATCTAGCTGATGCTATTTTCTTGCTTATTGAACTACGAAGAAGAAACAGATGAAAATCAGTTTAGAAGTCAAAGGGAGGACCACTCAGCTTACAAAAACAGTATAATGTCCTCTGTGGCTTTGGAAGAGCTTTGGCAAGTCTGAGAAAAAAGCCTTGATGATGTCATTGTTTTGTCATCAGGTCTATCAGTTTTAACAGAAAGGCAGTGTTACAAATAGAGGCTGGAGTTTGAAAGAAATCGGCATTTACCAGATAGTGAGGCTCTGACAAAAAGATGCTACCAAGTTGCATTATGGAAAATGTAGGATCCAGCATTTGTTAAGCTTGACCCACACTACCAACAAAAAGATCAGGATATGATGGCTTCTGTTTTATTTTCCCCAAACATCATGAGAATGGAATACTAAATACCAAAGTGTTGGAGTACTTTAGCTTTACAGATTTGCTTAAACTTTGGCTGCATTACACCTTTTAATGATTTCCTATAATGTTTTGTATATGTCCCATATTAATTTGTATAATACATGGGGAGAGTACTAGCATAAACCAGGCGTCTTTAAGACAAATACTATATGATGTGTAACAAAAGTAAGGGACATAAGTGACAGAGAAAGTTTAATGAATAATAATTTATATTATAAATCTGAGCTGAATTTGAGTCAATTTTAACTGTGCCAATTTCTGGTTTCTTTTTCACTGGGGTGAAGCACTTACAAACCCTGTTTCCGAAGAGAAGCAATCAGCATCTAATACAAACCAGTTCAATTTGTTGACAGTGTAAACAGCACCTCTGTTTGATTGTAAACCTGCTCCCAAACACACATACAAACAAGCCTTCACACACACACACACACACACACACACACACACACACACACACACACACACACAAGAAGAACAAGAAGAACTACTGTCTAACCACGCCCACCCCCCACCCCCCACCCGCCACTTCCTGCAGATTCCTCCTCTATGGTATACCACTGATGTCTATAGGCAAAAAGCATTGTGAGATCCAGTCCTTCCTTGGGTTATCATAGGTTTTCATTGCTTTCTCACACAGTTTTGTGTTCAGGGGTCTAACATAGTACACAGTAGGAAAAGAAGAAAATGAAAATAGACCACAATAGACCAAAAATTTGATGCAAGGATAGATCCAAAGAGCAATAAGTGTTCTCCAAAAAAGGTATATTAATTTTTGACCATTGTTAAAAGATTTGTCAGCTCTTGAATGATGCATATGGGAAATCCTTGTTTAGTTGAGCAGGCAAATCTGAAATTGAAACAAAATTTCAAACAAGGAAATACTGAACAGAGAAATGCAAAACAAAACACATACCATCTTCCCCTTTATGTCCTTTAAGGAAACCTCAAACAGAATGTCTTATAAGTCCTGTAATTTGCCTGTGTACCTAGCTCTCTAGAGTCAACGCTTATAGTCTGTTCAATCACTTTGTCCTATGTGGTGAAGCGCTGGAGTGCAGTCTCACCTAAAACGCAGAAAAGTCCTTTCATTCAGCTTGTTATGGCTCAACTTTAGAGTGGTCCTCTCTTAAAAAATGCAATGGGTGCTACATCATCATGGTGCACTCCTGGCACCTACTGCCTTGAAAAGACCACATTAGCTTTCAATAATTTATCTACACCTGAAATTTAAGTCACAATATAGATATAAGGTTCTGCTTCATTTTGCCCAAATAGCTTCCAATTTAACAGCAAAAAGTAGTAGTTTGAGCGTTCATGGTTATTATGGTTGAAACGCTTGGAATCTCAGGTTACCACACAAGATGATACTACAAAGATAATTTGCCCATTATAACAATGATAAAACCATCAGTCGATTTTGCAGTATCAGTGTAAGTGAAGACAGTGTTTCCCGTATATACATTTATATTTCATACAAAAAGGAAGAGAAGCAATAAGTTGGATAAATTTTATTACCTATAGTTTCCACTATGGCCACCCGTGTACTATGCGCAGACACCACCCAGGTACAACAAAACCCTTCATAGCTGGACTGGCAATCAAGCATACTGGGACAAATCATGGTGGGCCACCACATCAGTGGACCATCAAAATATCCATAAAGTTTTTACCAGCCCTCTCTCTGTGTGCCTGTCATTCAGGGTGCGTATGACATGGTGCTGTGCTCCTGTTTTCTTGGCTGTGCTCACTTTGCTGACATTCTTAACAGCCATAAACAGGGATTAAGCTGAACTGCTAGAAGACAGAACAGTTCAGAGAGAAATTGTGTGCAGCAAAAGGATGATACACCTCTGCCTCACGGTACTAATAACACTATATTGGTGATACATCTCAACAAATCTTATCACCATACTGATTAATGAACCTCCCACCCTCCACTATAATTCAGTGACTCAAGATGGTAAGATTTGTGTCTCAAGCCAAAATTGTGTGATGTCTGATGACATTCAAGTTGCACTGTCAGCTGCTCAATAATGGAGAATGATCCAGTGAGGGAACAACAGACTTGTTATATAATTTCGTGCTCCTAACAAATAAGAATATTTGGCATAATAACATTAACTCTGTAACTGACCTTTCTGTTGGGTGCAATCCAAGCGTAACTAAATTCCCTTTAAAAGTCATTGTTTGACTTTAAGGTGATTTATCCAGTTACTGCACTGGTATTTTGCTTCTTAGTGAAAATGCCATTCCAAGTCATCAGGCAAATGATTAGAGAAACAAAGTGTGGGTTAAGTTTGACATTTGCAATTTGACCAAGGTGCCTAAGTGACTGGAGATAGTGAGAATAAAAAGTGAGCATTATTTGTTCCGGACATACCTGGAGGACAAATTATGCCAGGGCGATATTTCATTAACAACTGGAATGTCCTGGTGACTCAGTCAGTCAGTCAGTGGGCTGAAATTTGTCTCAAGACCTTCATTGTCACATTTAACCAGAGTTTCACACCCAGGAGTTGGACATGTAACTTCCTCAGTAAGGCTGGCTTAACACCATCTTCAGTACCACTACTTCACCCTTTTGCTTTCTCCATACAAGACACTTACCTTAGTGCTGAATCATGTCAAAAGAAGTTGCAACTGAAATAAAAAAGGGAAATGTGTCTTTTGTGTGAATGACATGATGCTATCACCTAAGAAAGAAAAGCCAGAAACATCTCAAACTGTGAAAAGTCTCAGAATGTGTGTAGGCTACAGTGTCAAACTACGTTTAAAACAACAACAGTTTGACTGTCGGACACCTCCTCCATCCAGCCCAAACAAACACTCTCTTCAAATCTAACAGCTGACAGACATAAAAAAAAGAAGTCAAAAAGTATTTTTTTTAATATGAATGACTTTGCAATGACTGACGCATTAAGGTTAAGGGCAATTGTGTACACTTTGCGTAGCAAGATGCAACCAGCATGCAAGAAAGAACACACATGAGAGCCATGTAAATATCAACTCTGTTGGCAAGAGATTTATGCAAACTCCTGTGTCTCTCTCCTCACACACAGAGAAAGAGAGAGCTAAATTGGGTGTGGATTCATCTAACAACAAGGAATGATGGAAAGTTTTCGGTTGCCCCGCAAATGTCCCGTTTGTAGCTCCCTCCATGCTTACTGGGACAAGAGAAACCAGTTTTTTGTCTCTCTATAGCTCTCTCTCACTCACACACAGACACACACACACACACCTCTTGAATCATTCATGAACACCACTGACCCCCCACACCCACCCTACCTCAACCCCTCAGGTCTACCCTATCACCTGTACGCTCTTCCCTTCCCTGCTCAGCTCTGCTCCTCCACCTCATAGAAATTACACAAGCATTGTGTATCTTTTTCCACTAACTCCTCACTCCCGCCCCTATAATCAATACTGTCCAGAAGAAGGAGGCAGAGGAGAACAGGGAGTTCCTTCTCTTGCTGCCTCACAGAAAACACCTTGTAAAGCCAGGTGAGAGACAATTATTCACCTGTTACAAACTGAGCCAAACAGCTCCCTATCGGCTTTCCACCGCCTCTAAACCACTAAAAGTCACTGTATCTGATATCATATGCAGTGAATAAACACTTCCAAAACCGGTTTGCCCAAAATATGTCATTACTGGATATATAGCTCAATGTGAGGGACATTGAGCTCCTCAGGTACAGTTTCTGAACTTTGAAATTTTTAGCCGTTGACAGGTAGGCACGTGCCATCGCTTGCCAACTGACGTCTGTGTCAAACATGATAGATATATTCAAACAAAACATATAAAAATGAGATCTGAAAATTGTGTAAATGTTCGTTGTCTACATTGTGGAAAACCACTCTTGCTCCAAGGGAACCACAGCCTTGCCTGGAGGCCATTGTTTCTACACCTCTGGGGCCTGAGGGAAAACTGTTAAAAGTCGAAGAAAGAGCCAGAAAATTATAAACTTTCAAGTAGGATGACGAGCTACTCTGTGTTATTTAATTTTAAAATGAAGAGCCTGTCACTACGTAAAGTTATACACCTTGACGACCCTCCAGCTGAGACCTAGCAACGGGGTTTTCTTCTCTGGTATCTTTCTCTGAACTTGTATGTATGCTGTGAGGTCAGTGATGTCAGCCTAGCTATCTAGGTGTTGGTCAGTTACCCACCTGTGCCTCCTCGGTGCCGCTGTCTCTGTCCAACTCCCCGATGTAGTACTGCTCCATCCACCGCCGGGCGTTCTCCGAGTGCCGGTGCGGGGGTCCCTCCATCTCCTGGATCACGTCCTTGCCCGACCGGCGAAGTATCAGCGCCTCTCCGCCCGGGTGCATCCGCAAGAAGGCGGTCACATCATACACCCTGGTCCCCAAAAGCACCCAGCAGGACTCCTTAGTGCAGTGGCGGGCCACCTCCCACTCCGTGAACAACCGGGGGGACGTGGACGGAGACATCCTGACAGTGGATATGTGGAGCGTCCACCTGAACCGAAAACTAAATACAGGGAGGGGAACAGAGAGACCTCCTAGGAGGGCTGTCGACCTGACTGCAAGAGTTCAACTTCGCCGTTTACACCCAGCGGGTCTAAAACTCGAAAGTACTCAGAAGAGGTCAGCGACTACAGAGGCGGGGTCTGTGAGGCGTTCAATAGCGCAGAAAATACTCGGTGACAAAACATGGACACTGTCATAGCAGCTTACACATGTTTCAAAATTTGAAAAGTGTAAAACCTTGTTTCTGTGAATGGTTTTTCTTCTTTCATAAATAAAATTATGATGTTTTATAATACTTTTATTCAGCTTAAAGCTGAGAAAAGACGATTTTTTTCATAAGATTATGAAGGAATCCGATTCTTACACGTTCCCTGAATGCAGCATAGCACCTGTTGCTGTGCAGAGTGTCTCAGGGCGACGGGAATCTCCTGAAGTCTGCTGTGTAGCGCAAACCTATAAATATCCAATAATTAAATTAAAGTCTATAAACAAATTACTATCTCTCGACGTGAATTATTTAAATTAACGTTGACTATTGACGTCGACTGAAGAGTGACAAAGCAATAAAAGAACTGTCATGTACTCCGTCATCACTTCCTGATCAATAGATAATGTGCATGTCAACACTCTTGAGGCAATTAACGTCCAAGCTGCAAAGACAAATACATTTAACTAACGGCAAATCTAATTCACCCCACCTAACGTAAATTTGTAAATCTATTTCTCATGACTTGAAACAATAACTTTGTGAACTCCTCGATGACGGTTTCGTGCAGAATATCATCTCCAAATCTAAAATATTCATGTAAGGACAAATTTAATAAGTAACATTTCGTAAATCATTCGATGAGATGTATGTTTTGGTCTATTTTCTCACAAAACAGAGTGCGCGTTTTTCTTTCTACGCACCACTCTCTTCTTTATCTTCACCGCACAGATGGACTGAAAACTGCTGCCTTCATGTGGTGTCGGAATTACTCCCTTCTACAGATGCGCCCAAAATGAAGTACGTACAAAATGGTAAACAAAATGCTGACAATAATGTGTAATATATTTTATATTAATCACACCTCACTTTTCGAAGAGTGATGTTTAGAGGGCAGGGAGTGTGTCAGTTTCTAGTAGCTATAAATGATGTAGGCTACCCTGCAAGTTTTTTAATCGTAATTAACCTAAAAAAAAAAAAGTGATTATCTATAGACAAGTTTTTTTTTAAATGCACAATTAGTGACATTCGGGACTTCTTTTGACAAAATCAGGAAGGTAGTAGTCTACTGAGAGCAGCGACAGACACAGCACTTATCCACTAGCGCCGTCCCGCGTGTCTAGGTGAATATGCAATGTGCTGTCGATGCCATGATGGACAAAGTGATGTGAATATGCAACGTCAAAAAAACAGACAAGATAACTGGATCCACGAGGGTCCACGAGTTCTCTCACACAGTTAAACACATTCATGTCATGTCATACCAAAGTTTTTAAATCCTAAGGGCTTGAATTGTCTTGCTCAGGGCCAATAGAATAGAACAGAACAGAATACATTGCTATATAATATGGCCAACTACAATAAAATAAAATGACAGATGAATGTGTATAAAACAGTGCATTGTCTTTCAAGTGAATACAACACAACGCAATATTTCTTTACCTGTTTGAGGTAGAGTGGTGTAGAAAACAGCAGGGGGCAGAAAAGGACCACAATATACATGGAGTAACTGGGTGATGGGGGGAGAAATAGAAATAGAGATGTTGAGAGAATTGGTGAAACATTAAGTGAAACAAGACACATAATCTCACCTCTTTTTTTGGCTTCTTTTTTCTTCAAAACAAGACACTGCCTCGGTGACGTGTCAAGTCTTTATTTGGCGGATCATATCAACAGCTTGGTGATGATGAAAACCTATAATGAGCTGATGATTGAAGGATGACAGGGTGAAAAGGGAACAGCACTTCAGGTGTTAGCAGAACATTTTCACACACCTCTCATTTTAGCTTTGAATTTGCAGAGACAGGGTCTGACAGAGTCATAACTCACTGTTGTGTTAGTTGATAATGAATAAACTGGGCCCTGAAGCAGGCATTATGATTCGTCATTGCAGGATAGCACAGGTGGAACTAACTGCATGTGTACCATTCCAGTGAGCCGACATGAACAACAGTTGGGCCCTGGTTGCGCTCTTGTAGAAGTTGCACACCTAATGAGAAATAATGAATGTTATCAGCCGAATGTGTGCTCCAGGATTGTCTCTGTCTGCTGTTATACCTCTATTATATTATTTATACAGCTTTTAAACACTTCCACCATGCCATGTCACATTTTGGTACATTCTCAGTTGTTAATACAAAATATTCAAATAATTTCTCCCTCTATAGCTGTCTCATTAAAGGGGAAAATGTGAGGTAATAAACTGGGAAATAATAGTTCATTTTGTGTGCGTTATTACAAGTTTTCTTTAATTTACTCTAATCACACACATATTTCCTTTTTTGTGACATAGTTAAATATAAATACTTGGTTAATCTTAATGTTCACATAAGGTGGTTGTGGTAAATTATAGCATGTAATATTCTGATCAAAAATTACACACACTTATTCTATTTTAAAGACATTTAATAAAGCTGTGTCACACTCACACCATGTTACACTTTAACGCCTTATTTGGCAGTTTTTAATGACTGCACTATTAAAACAGAAGGAAAAATCTGCAACATTTCAGTCCTTTTAACATCCGAGAAAGAAACTAATGAGTAACTGCTAATTCATAAGAAGATTCCTGGAAACAGCTATGTAATTTGATACTAATTGGGAAAATGGAGATCAATTAGTTCACTTCCAGTTAGCTAATTGCTAGCATGTGCTAGAGAGTCTTTCAGTCTGTGCACAGCAGATCAGCTGGACACACAGAAATGTGAAAAATGTCTACAGCAAGCACACAATTCAATATATATGGAAAATAATAGATTTTAAATTGATAATGAATGAATATTTACTTGGGTGTAATTTGAGATTTTCCTTCAAGAGCATATTCTAAAAAGCTTTTTTAGGGAGTTGTAAATCAACCGCTAGAAAAACTGAAGCAGAGCAGTGGGTCCCAACTTGTGGGTTGCAGTTACAAGATGATTAAAGAGTTAAAACATGTTATACTTTATGTTTATTTTTATACTTTCTATATTCTTGATTTTTACTTTTGTTTTTCATGTGAATTACTTTTAACTCAGCATTTAAAACAGCAGAATGTCACTCCACTGGAACAGATTCACTCACAGGGGTGATGTAAATCCACATTATCTTTGGGCCGAGCTGCATGTGTTTGAATGAGATGTGGAGACACCGTGAGTTTGAACCATGGTTTGATAATGTCGGCAGTTCGGCCCTTCTCCTGTTTCGTTTCTTCACTGAGCAGAAAACACATCAGAGTGACTGTGTGTCCAATCATCTATTGTCACTTCCCATCAGTGATGTGTAATATTGTACTGACTGATGATATGTAACGCATCAGTGCATCACATTGTTCGGGAACGTCACCTTACACTGTGTGACGCCTGCTTCCCTCCTCGCCCCGACAGTCTTTTGTTTTCCACCCGTTTTCTCTCTATCACTGTCTTTATCTCCTCTTCCTTCCTCTTTTGTCACATTTCTCCTCTTTCTTGTCGTCTCCCACTCTTCTACCCGCCTCTCTTTCTCTTAACCATCGAGCTCCCCTGGTTTTTACCCTCATCCCCAAAATTACAGCTGCTTCTAAATATACCCTGCACAACAAAAGAGTCCTCGGTAATACACTGCATGTCAGTGTCTGTAACCTGAAGCTACAGGCAAGTAAGTGAGTGTGTGTGTGTGTGTGTGTGTGTGTGTGTGTGTGTGTGTGTGTGTGTGTGTGTGTGTGTGTGTGTTCCGTGTGACCTCCACTGTGTTGATGTCAGAGGTAGGCGGGGTTATTTTGTGTTTTTTGAAGAGTGATTGGCCGGTTGTCTGGCCCGGTCATGTCGGCGTGTATAAGAAAGTGGCAATTCATATGTTAACAATCATTTCTTTACGACAGAGCTTTAACACGAATCCATGGCAACCGTTGTACCTGTAAGTATCTATGTGTGTGTGTGTGTGTGTGTGTGTGTGTGTGTGTGTGTGCGTTTGCATGTCTGTCATTCTGTCATTAAGTGCTGTATCATCATTCATGCAATGTGACGTTCTGTTTGAACTGTGACTGATAGGTATTATCAGGTAGATCTGCAGGTAAAGGCAAACTCAGCGGAGTAAACATAAACATTTTAGGAACAATATGTTTCCATCTTTATACGTCCCTGTACAACTTTCTTTTTTTGGCCATAAACTGGTCACCAGCTGAAAAAAATGAATGTAAATGTGATATTGATACTGTAAATATTGGATACGATCAACGGATTGTGTTTTTTCAGCACATGACAACTCAGGGATACTGTAGCAGGTCAGCTATTATGTGTACAAGTGTGTGTGTGTGTGTGTATGAGTAAACAACTGTTGGAAGGCCGGTCTACATGATCAAGTGTCGGTCCTGTAAATGAATCTGCACTAGCTGAATTCACTTTGTGAGATCAATCGTGTGTGTGTGTGTGTGTGTGTGTATGTGTGTGTGTATATGTGTGTTTTTTCTTGGGTTTCTGATGGAGCAGGTGATTTAACTCTGTGAGAGGTAGACTGGCTTGTATGCTAATTAAAATGGTGTGATATGCGCATGATTGTATGTATGTATGTGTGTGTGTCTGTGTGTGTGTGTCATTTGAAGTGTGAATAACAGAGATACACAGCTGAGACTAGCATACTCACATAGCGTTCTGCTCTCTGTGTCTATTATGCTCCGGTAGATTAACATGTCGTGGGGTCAGTAATAGCAATTTATAAATAAATTATAATCAGTATTTCCAATGATGCATCAGCGATCAAATGATTTCCTAGGTAACAAAGTGTATAGTGTGAAAACAAAGCAGTGTCAGTTGCAGAGACAGACTCATCACACAGCAGAGTACGTTTATCACTGTGTTCATTTTACATGAATTTCGCCTAGAGGATAAATAAATATCTATCTATCTATCTATCTATCTATCTATTTTAGACAGTACCATGTCTCCATGCTGTGCTGCTCCATATTGTATTGCCAGTAGTTGTCTATATCATAAACTCGCATGACAAATACCATCTGATTTGTTTTATCTGTGCAAATTACAAGAGAAGAATCCGGATGGCTAAGTCAACTAAGCGGCTGTGATACATGATTCATAATACATACACAAAACAGACTGCAGAGGATTGGGAGCGTGTGGAAAAGCAGACTTGATCACAACATCCAACAAACTACTCTCTCTCTCTCTCTTTCCAGTTTGCATCCTGCTATGCCAGCGTTCAGCCCCTGCAGCTGTTCGGGAAAGGACCCAGGGGGGGCAACTATCTGTCACTCTTCACATACCGGGGTCCTCGCTGCA